CTCCCGCTGCCCCCAAAGAGTCCCTCCTCCAAAGAAGCCCTGAGCTTACCACTTGCTGCCACCTGTGGGGTTGTGACTCCATCCCCCGCACTCTTGGCTGGGAGCGGCCCACATACAAGGCATTGGCAGCAGTGGTGGGGCCTCCCCAGCCCCATCTCCAGGGGCTGCTAGCCAGTACCTGTGTCAGCTTGTCCGCTTGCCTAGGGATGGGGAGGGGATCTTGGGAGGGAATCCACCCACCCACCCTCAGTCCCTGGAAGCCAGCTTCCCTTGCTGGAGATTGGCCTTGACCAAGGGCACTGTGGAGTTTTCGCCATCGTCAGGATGACTTCCGACCCCTGGCTCCTGCCTTGGTGTCTGGCATGCCTCGTCTCCTCCCACAGCGTTTGCTCCTTGGCAGCTAAGGCTGGTTGGGCTGATTCTTGGGGGGCCCCTGGGAAGGGCACAGATCTGAGCGTTCTCAGAGGGTATCATCCTGCCCAGGAAAGTCTTCTAAGCTCCAAAGCCATACAAGGCATACGTTTGCCTGGTTCACACGGTGCTCCCACAGTCTAGCTAAGTGCCTGGCACACAGCAGTTGCTCAATAAAAGTTTGCCAAATCAGTGGATGGGCTGTGAGAACCCAGGTGCCATCTCCAGTCCTTCTAGAGCTCACTCTGACCCGGGGCGGTCCCTGTCCCCACCCCTGAGACTCTTGTCCTACTGTAACATGATGTGCGTCCGTCTCTAGGACCTGAAGTGACCCAGCCCCTGGAGGGACCACCAGCCTTATTTTCAGAACAAGGGGCTGGGAGAAGAGGCCAGCTTTATCTAAGGGATGTAGAGCAAGTGGCTGCAGAGACGTGCAGGGGGATCTCCACACTTCTGCTCTCGGGCCACCTTTCTAGCAGTTTCACCAGCTTCCACATCCCCAAGGATTTGACTCCACCATGGCTCCTAAGGCCAGGGACCTTGCTCTTCTGCTTCTCCGTCCAGCACGTGGCGGGATGCACGTGAAGAGATGCGGTTTCCTCCTGTAACAACTTGCCACAATAAAAATCAGAGCTTTAGGTTGATAATGATGTGATGGGCCATAAAGTTCCTCCACGGGAGACCTGGGGGCTGAGAAGACTTGCCCAAGGTCACCGAGAGACAACAGCAGACATTCGGCCAGGATGCAGGAGCTGGTCTGTCTGCAGAGGTCAGCCAACGCGAGGGCCAGCTCGCATGACTCGGCTTGGGAACCAGAGGGACCCTGTTGGGAGCCACCCATCACATACCAGAACCCCCGCATGGGCTCAGCCAGAGCCCAATTACTGCTGGGAGAGGCATGATGCTCTCGTAATGAAGTCATATCTATCGCAAGGATCCTGAAGCGACTTAACTGTGAAATAATTACATGTGCCTCAGAACTAGGAGATCAAGGATTCCTATCCAACATCCCGTGATGCTCTTAAAAATAGGTTTCACTATAAACTGCAGGTGGGGTGGGGAGAGGCAAGATTTCCGAGCCAGGACACCGTGTTTTAATTCCACCTTTTATGTTTTGGCATCATCTCCTCTGTGCGTATACATCTCTCTGTAGACATTAAAACAACATTAAAGGAGATTAGAAGAGTAAGGACTGTCATCCATACTCGGAGTGCTATAACTCAATTGCACCCACATGCGTGTGTCTCCTTGTTTAATTACACACGCAAGGCGTAAATGCACGCTCGCTGTCAGAGATGAACACTGTGGTCCGCAAAAGTGTGAGGCCCACACCATCCCTCTGAGTTCTTCTGTCTGCCCCCAACATAGTGTATCTTTCCAGGACTTCTCTCTGGTTTAGATCTAAGTATTCATGTGTAACTATATATTAGTGTGTGACTAAAACACACGAGCAGGTAGTATTTATTTTAAATATTAATGGGATCATATTATGTATTGTTCTGGAATTCGTTTTTCTCCTCCTTTTAACAGGTCTTAAAGACCTTTCCATGATACTAAAAATGGAGCCACCTCCATTTTTTTTTTTAAATAGCTGTTCAGTTTTCTGTATAGCATCGTAATGATTTTATATCAGTCTCCCATTAAGGGACATTTAGTTCACTTCCAATTTTTCAATGTTACAAATAGTGGATACACACACACACACACACACACAATCTTAAGCTTCCTGCCTCTCTCAATTGGCTGATGACTCTTTAAAATATATATATATATAATTTCAGAGAGGAAGGGAGAAGGAGAGAAATGGAAGCATCAATTATAACAGAAAATCATTGGCTGCCCCCTGCACACTCTACACTGGGGATCAAGCCCGAAACCCTGGCATGTGCCCTGACTGGGAATCGAACCATGACCTCCTGGCTCATAGGGCGATGCTCAACCACTGAGCCACACCAGCCGGGCCTGATGAATCTTTTTATTTATGTCAGCAGACGTCCTACTGGGGAATGCCAGCTCCGCAGGACAGAGGTTGTGTCTGTTCTCTTCACCGCTCCGTGCCAGAACAGTGCCTGCTCAGCGTACGTGCACAGTAAATATTGGTTGAATGACTACTTGGTCAGCAAGGGGAGAACATAGCTGAAAACCATTCTAGCGATGCATGCTTGTCTGAAGCCTGCACTTTACAGAGGAGTTTCTATACCCTCATCGAATTCTATCCTCAGAACAATGGTGTGAGGTTATTAGATCCCGCATCGTTATTACCCCCGACTCACTGGTGAGAACAGCATCAGGAGGGAAAAACGGGAGAGTTTATGTCTGGGCACGTTAAATAGCAGTTGTCTAGTTTCCCAACTAGTCCTCCAAGGCAAGGACCGTAATCCACTAAATCTTTAACCCTGTTAATTGCAGGTCAATTGCAAATTTCCTTACAAATGGTAAATGCACAAAACGGGCTGAATGAATGAGTCTGTGGCTTTAGGTGGTCCGATACCTCTGGGGGCACAGGGCCTCCTCCCCACTCTGCTTTCGAGACAGCAACCGCACGGTCCCCAGTCACCTCCACCACGTGGTGACCCGTGTGGAGAATGGCCTTTTTTTTCTTCCCCAGGGGTTGAGTTATGCTTTTTCCTCTCTCACTGCTGGGTCAAACCACCTGTGACATTCCTTCTCCTACGTTTCTGTACCTTCTAAGTTTTCTTTCCTGTTCTCTTTGGAATTGCGAGTCTTGCCACCTCGACTCCCTTCAAATAAGGTGAAAAGTCAAAAACGAACAACCAGCCCCAAGCATGACGGAGAAGTCAAACTCATGCCCTGACCGCAGTGAAAAGGGAAGACGTGCAATTCCAAGTGGAATCAGATCGAGGGCCCTTCCCCTTCCATGGGCCCCATGACCCCTTAGGGTCTCTCTATAGGCCTTAATCTAATTCCTTATCCCATCAGCTCTCAGGGCTTCGAAAACGTGTTTGTTTTCCTTTGCCAACAAGCATTCACTCTATTTTTCTGTTTTATTAGAGCAACCTCGATCACAACACCTATATGATTTTATTGCACTTATTTATTTACAAGATAGTCTTTTCAACAGTGAGCTGCTTGAGGGAAAATATCATGAGGTACTTTTCATTTTTAAATCCCAAATGCCAATATAATGCCTGGCAGCAGAAAGCTGGTATATTGTTTTTTATGGGGGAGGGGGAGAGAGGAGATTTAGTTTCCTCCCATTTTTCCATGGCACGCAACCACAATAATTCAATACACTTATGTTCCTACCAAGCTTAAAATTCTGTATTTTATGAGTAGGCATGTAATAGATTTTTTGGGGAGGACAAATCTGGAACCTTGACCATTATTTATAACACGAGAGGCCTGGTGCACAAAATTTCGTGCACTGCGGGGCGGGGGGTGTGTCCCTCAGCCTGGCCTGCACCCTCTCGCAGTCCAGGACCTCTGGCTCCTTACTGCCTGCCTGCAGCAGAGGTGGGAGAGGTTCCCACCACCACTGCTACGCTCACCAGCCGTGAGCCTGGCTTCTGGCTGAGCGGCGCTCCCCCTGTGGGAGCGCACTGACCACCAGTTTCTTAAGAAAGAAACTTTTGGGGTATCATCTTTATGAAAGTTAAGACCTTTGATCATCCTTCCTGACTCAAGCTCAGATTCTTGTTAGGCTCCCAGGCACCCCCACCCCTATCAGAAAATGCAGTGCATTGAAAAAAAAGAGTCTGGCAGATGGTGAACCCCAGCAGGATCTTAAGATTGCATTGCCTTCTCAGGGACCAGCCCTCTTGGATTTAACAACAGGCCTGCAAAGGGTGTTGGGTGCTGGGAGAAGCTGGTGTTCTGGGGGTGGGGCTGGGTGGGGGGAAGCCTGGTATCTCTTTCTGTAAAATTCTAGGTATTGTGTGTGGCTTGTCTTTTCCTTCTTCTTTTTAGGTATTTTGCTATAATATTTGTTCAAGATTCTTTTTTTATTGAGATATAAAAATTTATAGTAAAACACATAGGTCTTAAGTCCAGTGAGTTTTGGCAGTTGTATACATCTGTGTTACCATCACCCAAGTCAAGATATAGAGCATTTTTAGCCTCCCCCTCCCCCCAAATTCCCTGGCTCACCCAGAGCCCTCTTTCCAGTCAATCCTCTCCCAGGGCAACCACTGTTCTGAATTCAGTCACAAGCTTCATATAAACAGAATCACACATAGCCTGTTTACCTTCCTTTATTTACTAGAACAATGATAACAAAAAGGTATAGACATAATCTAATTTCTTTTCTAAGATGTGGGAATTTAAGTGATCATTACTTTTTTCATATTTGGTCTAATATAAACAATAGATACATATAATTTTATAATAATGAGACAAAAATAAAGGTGGTTTTTTTTTTCATGGAGGGAGGGGATGTGGCTCTTGTGGAGAGTGAATAAGTGAGGGCAAGGCACTTGGTCCCATCAGCTCAAGGTCAAAGACTCCTCAAGGCATTTCCTGTCTGGATTCTTGGTTATACTTTTGGATATGGAACCCTTTGACCAAAGGATTTCTCCAACCTCAAGCTCTTCCCCTTGGATCTTAGCAAAGAAGAAACATCATCTAAAGCCAGGATTAAAAATTCTATTAAAATCATGAAAAAATACACATGATTAAACTTTAAACTTTTGATCCCACATTTGGGTTTTAGTGAGGTGCATAAGGCAAATGGTTATAGAGCAGAATCTACAATTGCAGATAAAATCTACATATACTCTATGGTCTCTGACTATCATGTGAACACAGATAAGGGGCAACTTCTTGTTCTGTTTCCTTTATGGCTCCGCCACACAGCTGGGTGCCTACATGGAGAAAGAATGGGTTATAAGAGAGGCATAAAGCGAAAGTTTTGAATCCTGAAATAATATTTGCAGAAACACTTTAAACAAAGAGAAAACAACCTAGCAATTTCACAACAGAAGGCAAGGCCTAACTCCGTTGGTTAAATGGTCCCATATGTGGTGTCTGCAGAGCCCGAAGGCTTCGAATGGGCCTGCCTGGGGCTGGTGCCAGGGCTCTGGGTGAGCTGGCTGGGCAGTGAACACATTGTTTAACCTCACTGAGCCCGTTTCTGCCTCTCTAATCTGGGGTATTAATGGCAATCTCCATCTCACTGGGTTGGTCGGAGAGGTGACGAAAGTGAAGTGTGAGCAAGGCCTTTGTAAACCATATACACTCCCTGATGCCAACTGTGTACGATCACTTCTGGATGGGAATAAATCCTAGGCTCTATATCCTACAGTTTTTGACTTTTGGGGGGACTTAGCAAAGTTTTATCTCTTGCTTCACCCTATGGACTCCAACTTCCTCACTGGGGCAAAGGAGGTATTTTAAAGGAAATAAGAGATGGGGGCATGGGGAGGGGGTGTTGGAGTCCGACAGACCTGGGTTGGAATCCAGATTCCCACACTTCCTAGCTGTGTGTGCGTGTGGCCTTGGGTGAACCCCTTAACATGTCAGAGCCTCGGTTTTCTCATCCAGAAAGTGGAAATGGACATACCTCAATGGGTGGCTGGGAGGACAGGATGAGATAGACCCTTGAACAGGCACGTAGCACAGTACCTGGGACAGGTGCCACCCATGATAGGAAAGGTGTGTCACTCATGCAAGATGCCCTGGGGACGAATGAGCACCTCGCTCCCAGGACCCCTCAGCATTAGCCCCTTAAAACCGGGATCATGGGGGCTCAGAGCAGGGGCAGAAATATGGAACTCCCACGCTAACACAATTAGAATAAAGTTTTCAGCCACTGGGCACAGGCAAGATGGATCACCTGGATGGGGAAAACACTGCAGACCGGCCAGATGTGCCAAGGCCGATCTGGGGGGGATGCACACCCACATGGTTGGCACTGGGATCCGCTCTGCGTCTGAAGGGCTTGGCATCCTGTGTGTGTTCAGATGCCTCCCTTGCAGCCAGGCCAGGAGGCTGCCGCCACTGGGGAAGGGGAGGGGTCGGCAGTTCGTCTTTGCAGAGAGTCTGGGAGCCCCATCCCTGGACAGGGCAGGGAGGGCGCAGCCTGCAATCTTCATCAAAGTCCACAAAAACCTTTAGCGGAGGCTGAGGATCCGACTAGATCAGGGGCGGGCTTGGGGTCTCGTTGAATCTGGGGTTTTGCTGCAAGTGGGGAGCCCAAACCGCTTGGTGAGGTTTTAGCCAAATTTCACTGCTTTGTTCTGCCAATGTTCCCCAGGTAGCCATTGGGAGGGGGGACTGCAAGAAATAAACAGCCCACAGCACCCTGGCGGTCTCCGGCCCCTCTTCCCCCTTCCCGAGGTCTTTCTTGCGCCCCTCCCCCACCCCAATTTCCCTTCCTGACTCCCAGGCCTCCGAAGCAGCGCCTTCTGTGTATCGGTTTGTAAAGTTAGGTTATTTCTCATTTCTGATCCTTTAGTGGGCCACACCTGACTTCGATCCCACCCCCCCTTTTCCTTTTTCCCTCCATAAGCTCTATCTCTATGCGGCTCCTGCCTTTTAAAGCAGCGATAGCGTAAGGACATCTGAAATCCCGACTTGGTTCTCCCGGCCCACCTGGCCCCTGCCGTCGCTGGAGCGCCCCGCTGCCGGCTCACTTTAGCTCTGGGTCGGTATTAGGAGCGGATTGGAGTTGGGACCCCCTGATCTGCAGGCGCTCCGAGCCCCGCGCA